ACAGTGAAAACGGAAGCGAAGAACTCGTTAAGTATACTGGCCATATCCTTATCACTTGCAATCAACTCCCTCTTTTCGTTCATTAGCGGCCCGATCGACTGTTGACACCTACCACTAGCATACTGATAAAAAGCCTTAGGGTTCTTCTTAGCATCGCTAGCCAGCCGTTCCTCGACCTCCCGTCTCGCAGATCTTATTTCCCGCTTCAACTTCCGCGTGATCCTCCTATATTCCTCATAGTCCGCGCTATCTCCCTAGCTAGGTTGTAGTATCCTGTCCCAGTAGCAAAAGAGGGGGGTGTTGTAGGAGTCTTGTGCCTTGCCAGCCCAACAAGAGGGTTGTGGGGGGGGAGGGGGGAGTAAATTGCTTGCAGATGGAGTGCAAATTATATCTAGGTTCTGCTCAATGCCTCTGCTGACAGAGGGGATATAGTCTGCCAGCTTAGTGAGGGATGTGCACATGAGCATGCCTTCCTGTCCACTCTCATGTCAAGGAGGTTGTAGAGATGAATCAGTGGATCAAGAGCATGCAGGTCCTGATGATCATCTACCCTCCCAGCTGGACTTGACATTGTAGGGTGCCTTGCAACAAAGTTTTGCAACAATCACCTTGCAAGACCTATGGGTGTGGGTACCATGCAGACTGTATACTAATAAAAAAAAGTTATGCTAAAAGGTTCCCTAAATTTCCTTTGGTGGTACCTTTATATTTTACTGGACCAGAATCTGGAGTTCCACAGGCTGGATTAAGTCTGCCATGTGAAAGTAGACTTTGAATGTGATATAGTTGAACCTCCAATCTACTAAAGTTTTGAATGAGTTGTTTGACAAAAAGGCCACTTCTCTCATCGGAAATTCAGGGATACACCTAGATATTTGCTACTATGTGATAGACAAAACTTATCCCTTGCATTTTGGAATGGATGAGGGTTTCTTTTAAATGCTTGTACAAAAACTTTGCTAGGCAGTCAATGCTGTAAGAGTGGATGCTGAGTGATTGTTTATTGCCTTTTTCTCTTTTAACAAGGAATTTTATCTCAAGACTATAATGTTATTCAATGTGATTAACAGGGATATTTTGTTTTGAAATAATCTGTTCTTACTCTGGTGCAGTGGTTAAAGTCAATCATCTTTTCTCATTTATGCTTTGCTTTGTTATTCAAATATGAAAGTGGGCTGACTTCCTCTTCCAATAGGTCTCACATGAGGTCTAGGTCCAGGTCCAGGTCGAGATCAAATTCAAAGAGAAAAGATCGGCATTCGTCATCACGGGATTACATCACCGAGTTCAGGCGTTCCCCCAGTCCCAGCCCATCTCGTGATCGCAGTCATAAGAGGAAGGAGGAGCGATCGAGAGATGGAGAGTCTTCGTCGAGCTCTCGGTTGGCCCTGATGTTCATGAATTTTATTCTTGTGTCTTGGGTGTCAGTCTTTCAAAGTCTGTTTGGGATTTCAGGAGTTATGGGGAAGTGAACAATGATAGGGGTTCACTAAGAGACAAAGAAAGACTTCCTGTCCAAGTCAAAGAAGAGGCTACCTCACTTCCTCCACCCCCTCCTCCACGTGAGACTCTCAGTTCTTCCTTCTTTGGAAACAGCACATTTTCCCCTCTCTTGCATCATTACAGAGGATTTTGCTTAGAGGCAGTATTTAACATATCCCCCATTCCATGTGCAGTTACATAGCTTTTTAATTTCTAATTGTAGACTTTGTTGCATTACCATTACAGCATTAATGCCTGAGAGTGGTGGTACTGAACTTTTTGAGCTGAAGGCATAATCCAGAAATGACCAACCTTACATGGGCTGCACTGAAAACAAGACTTACTAATACCAATTGAAAAAATTGTACTGTTTGAGTATGATTGCCTTAGAATGACTGTGTCATAGGTGGAACTTTTGAAGCATTTTCTTTTTGAATCTTCAGCAGTCAATTTGGATTTCAAGGTATATTTGACTATTCAATTTTATTTCCTCCTCATGTTTCTTGATGACTGAAGCAGTGCAGTGCTACGCCTAAAGGCTTAATTATTTGCTGTGATTTTGCATATATGGGAATGTTCTTAAGTGAGCTTATGTGATAAAGATCTAGGAGAGGGCTCATATGTTACTAGTATTACTGGTAGTATGATATAAAATGTACTCTCTTAATATGACTTGTACATATTAAGAAATTTTGAAAGAGCATAGTAATGGTTCTTGAAAGAAAATTAGCTAGTGAGTGCTCTAGAATTGTCAAGGAAAATATGCAACCCTTTTCATGCATTTTTTCTAGAGATCATCAGATTGAATTCCAAAACCCATATCTGAAAGCTCAAAATGTTATGTTCAATTTCTCTTAATACAGCAGGTGCCACTTTTTGTGATCATTGGTTATTATGAGCTTGATAATGGGATCAAATCTCAAAAAGCAAAACCAAACCCATATTTCATACATATTTTCCTCCTGTTTATTATATCACTATGAACCTATGTTGTGTGTCCATCTCAGATGTTACCACAGTACATAGTGGGAAGGCAAAGGTTTGGGGGATACTTCCCTGCGATGAAGGGAATCTCTTCCTCTCATCTGTGACTAGAAAGTTGCAAACAGCCTTGATTAATATTAAAATCTTTGCAACAGCCTGGAGGATCTGATAACTATTAAGACCCAGATGATTTTGGATTATGTCTTCCTCCAACAAAAATGATTAGGTAGTAAAAGTACTAAGTTTTCTGTTTTCATGGATCTATCAGACACATGATATTATCAAATCCTTGCTCCAATGATATCATAATAAGTGGTCCCTATTGTTTATACCTGTAGCAGAGGTTGCAGCTATCACATTCACTTCTTGTAAGTTGAATCAGAATGTGATCAGTGGCTTATAAATGCAACATCAGATGGGAAGTGAACATACCAGAGAGGTGTTTTGTGGAAAATATCTGATTGGAAAGAAAGTTCTCGGAATTTCTTGAATATCCAGTACAATTTTTTTCCAGAGCATGCTAGAATGTTCTGCGTGTGTTTATAAGTAGGTCGTGTCCTTCGGCATACAACCGTATATTATTACAGCCCTGGTGCTCTCCAGCCATGAACCAGCCCTACCCTCTTACTAAGGAGCAAGTTCGCCTGCTTCTTCTTTATGACTTCCGAATCAAGAAGAAGGCAGCCAATTCCATCGCTGACATCAATACCGCGTTTGGCCCGGACACTGTGTCCAAGAGCACTGCCTATGATTGGTACAGTCGCTTCCAGAAAGGAAATGAAAGCCTGGAAGACCAGCCACGCACCGGTCGTCCTTCGGAGTTTGATAACTCTGCCTTGCAGGAGGCACTGGAGGCCAACAACCGGCAAACATCGCGAGAGCTTGCGGACTTGCTGGGTGTCTCCCATACAACTATCCTTCATCATCTGGCTGAGCTTGGCAAGAAGGCAAAGTTGGGGTGCTGGGTACCCCACAAGCTGGATGATCGGGACCGCCAGCGACGAGTAGACATGGCCATCTCCCTTCTGTCACGTTCGCGCCGAACGGATTGGCTAGACTCAGTGGTGACAGGCGACGAAAAGTGGACCTTCTATGCCAACATTCGACGAAAACGTCAGTGGGTGGACGCCGGAGCATCGGCCGAAAGAGAACCCCGTCAGGAGTTGCACCCCAAAAAGATTATGCTCTCGGTCTTCTGGGATTCGAAAGGCATCATCATGTTTGAGCTGTTGCCGCAAAACACCACCATCACTGCTGCCTACTACTGCCAGCAACTCGATCGGCTGCAGCAGAAACTGGCTGAAACACGCCCAGAAAGACAGAGAACCATCCTCCTCCACGACGATGCCCGGCCGCACACCGCTAGACAGACTCATCTAAAGTTACTGGACCTGTGCTGGGAGGTGCTGCCGCATCCGCCCTACAGCCCCGACCTTGCCCCGTCCGATTATCACCTTTTCGTTGCCCTGGACCGTCACATGGGTGGAAAGCAGTACGCCAACCAAGACGACCTGAAAACCGATTTGGCCAACTTTTTCGTAGCGCAGCCGCCAGAGTTCTATTGGAATGGCATCCATAGTTTGCATAAACGTTGGCGTGAAGTGATAGAGGCCAATGGTGATTACATTCATGATTGAGATGATTTTGCTTTTAAATAAACTGGGTTGTAATAATTGTTCATGAAATTCCGAGAACTTTCTTTCCAATCAGATATACAGGATTTCCTAACAGGTACCTGTTTACTTGCCCAGACTCTGTAAAAGTAAATATGTATGAGCAGTCACGTGAGAAAAGTTGTAGCTCCTGATTCCTTATAGTGCTTTGACATGGGATGAAAAGGCAGTGAAGCCATTTGAAGATGTGGTTTACCTGTGATGCTTGGTAGAGTCTGGAATAGAAGCTGTGGAGGAGGCAAGGAGATGGGCAGATGCTCTTCTGTCCATTGGAGGTGAGGGATTCGCACCGGAGACATTTCACTCCTCTCGTTCTCAAAAAGCCTCATCTCAGTCCTTCCTCTCTGCCCCAACTATAACCGTGATTGGCAATGGAGCATCTGGCAGTGAGAGTCAGATCCACCAAGATGCTCTCCTCCATCCAGCAGTGTGTTTACTCATGATGTTTGTTATACTTCTAACAGTAGACCTTGAGCAGTCTTCAGACTCTTTTCTGTTCTATATATCAAAAAACTTTGCTATTGTTTGACTTTTGCAGAAGAAAGTTGATTAGCTAAAAATTCAACCATAATGAAAGGTATGTTGATAATGGTACCCCTAATGGAGGAAATTCATGGTCACAAAATAGTAATGATTGAGTGATCAGAGATACCAATTGAAATGTTATCTCTAGTTTGAGGGTTCCCTCTTGGATTCAAATTGACTTCTTCCATATTTTCACTGTGCTGTTTCTAAAATTAGATGAAGACTTAAATTTCCTTAGAAATGTTTCACAATGTGAGGCCTATGCCCATGTGCTGTATGGGCACAACCATTTTGGTACAGGCAAGGTCAAGGATGGTGACAGTACCAGCATGTAGCTGGGTCCTTTTGTTGTCAGGACTGATTTCCCAGTTTCAAAAGCATTTCTTGAATCAGAATGCTTTTGTAATGTTAAATGCTCAGACTCAAAAGTGTTTAAAATGTTTCATAATGAATTGAGAGAATGTTTCAGAGAGATGCAAAAACGTTTATCTCTCCCTGCAAAAAAAATCACTATATTATCCTTTACTCCTTGCCATTGGTTTCTACTCCCAGTACAATCACCATATTAGTGTTAGGTATCAAAGAGCTTATTAGACTCTTTTTAAGGAGTGAAAACTGTTTTCCAGGAAGTTACCCTAAACATTAAAGAATCAGGTAATACAGAGGGTTGTCTGGTTACTATATAATTAAGCTAATGAGATCATCAGGATGTGGCTTATTTTCTCCACCATCTATTATGATTGATTTAATGCCCCTGCATGTTGACCCTGAAATCTCAATTCCTGTTTTAAGAAGCTCCCCCTTGGTACTTCCAGGGGCATCTTCTCCCTTTCTTGCCTGCAAGCTTTTCAGAGTCAATTTATTCCCTTTGCCTACCTACTTCCCAAGTGTCTCTTGAGAAGACCTTCATGTGACTTGACACAGATGTCTTGATAGGCATTTTCATAAAGCCTGGGAACATTATGCTTGTAAAGAGGGTTCATGTTTTCCTGAAGAAATTCAGAGTTCACTTCCAGTGGCTTTTTTTGGGGGGGTCATTTCACAGCATTTGCAGCACCTATAATTGAAAAAATTTAATCTGTAATGAGTGCTCCTTATTGTAGTCCTTCATATAACTCCAGACTTCATCCAATATTTCAATTTTTCTCTAGAAAGATGGTATTTATTGAGTTTTTGGGGATTGGTTTTGCCATGTTGGATGGATGTGGCAAGGTAGTTTGTGACTTGACATTTGAGTCTCTTCCCAGATATTTATTGATGATGGTCTTGGTGTACATTTGGAGGCTGAGATTTTAGGTGTTTTGCTCTTTTCCCTATCCTTTGTTTCAGCTTGGTATGATTTCCAATATAATAGAGGACATTTTGGGCTCGTTTAAAGGGATATTAAAGAAATTGTGCTTCTTGCATTACTTTAAAATGGCATTAAAAAAGTAAGAAAGTAGATTCCTACACATTTTGAAACTTGCTTTGTGCACTTTCTTCATTTTGATTTCATTGTGTTTTTTGAAGCCAGCAAAAATTAATTTTCCCATATTAAATGTGTTTCAAAGAAAAGCGGATCCTGCCATATCTGGCACACCATGCATTGTAGGATTAAGAATATCACTCAAGTTCACCTATTGGTGGAAATCCTCATTATAATCCTCATATATATATATATATATATATATATGAGGAAGCGCCTTGGTGGGAAGCAGGCCACTGCCCTACCAGGTAATCGCTTAATAAGTCGTTCTTTATTAAAGTAGGACTCAACATTATAAGTCGCATCTGAATACAATATTTGAACACTGCATGGAATTGGAAGAAACGGTCTCGTCCCCGTTCAAATCCGCCCATTACTTAGACATAAATATCGCTGTTAATGATTCAGAAAGACGCTTCATTACCAGCATCTATGACAAAAGAAGAGATTTCGAATTCCTGAGTCTGCCGAATGCAAGTAGTAATATCCCTAGGCATATTATTAAAAACGTCGTCGCATCTCAGTTAAAAAGATATGCAGATATTTGCTCTGAGGCGGACAGTTTCCTCTTTAACAGTTCGCTCTTGCACCAGAGGCTCTTGGATAATGGTTATGAAGATTTCCTTATAAGACTATTTAAACTTTTCTCGCAACAATCCAAGCACGATCTCATTAAATACGCTCCTGAAGGAAATGGTCTTGCATCCTTTTGGAAAAGATTCATGGATATTCCCGTAACTCGACCTGTAAACAGCTCGGATGTGCGACCCTTGCAGCACAGGAGTGACTGCAACACAGAACCGGTGCAGGAATACTATAACAGTGATTGGGCTCTTTCCCGTAGCTTCTGATTCTATCCGAGGAATTAACTCATCCAGGTTGTCGGGGTTGGGTAAGGCAGCTTTAGCTCAATGGGCCTCGAGGCAAAGGCCCAGTTTAGCAGAGGCAATCTGGGCATCGCTCCATTCTGTCAGCACAGAACACTGTTGGCTGAATTCATGGTAGTCCCCTTCCTCTTTCATTGTAGGCCTGCGTTTCCCAGGCTAACCTCCCCTTTTACTTTTTATGGCATAGGCCTGAGTCATTCCAAGCCATGCCGGGTTGCTTTCCTTATGGACCAGTCTCGTCATGAATTTCGGTCGCAAGGCTGTTCAAGCCAATTGATAATTTCTTCTTCTATGATAGAAGGGACAGCGAAGGATCCTAGCAATCGCGGCTTAAGGTACATATAAAAGATAAAAATTGACCCCCCTGGATCAAAATTCCGCTCTATAATTATTGTTAGGGACCTCGAAGGAGGGCCCAAGAGACACTTTTCGAGACTCTAAGGTCACCGGTGTGGCTCCTCTTTCATTGTAGGCCTGCGTTTCCCAGGCTAACCTCCCCTTTTACTTTTTATGGCATAGGCCTGAGTCATTCCAACCCATGCTGGGTTGCTTCCCTCAGGGACCAGTCTCATGAATTTCGGTCGCAAGGCTGGTCAAGCCAATTGATAGCTAAAAATGGTGCTGGCAGACGGACTTAAGCCGGGTGTGCCTCTGAAAATCTGGGTACTACCTTCCACTCATTTAAGTTCATAGCTTCAGCGCCTAACGGCAGAAACGGCCTGGATAGGGTGTCGTGCTAGGCTTGCAGCCTCAACCCCCTGAAGACGCAAGCTGCATGACATTTTCTGGGATATTTTCTTCACTGTCCTTCCTCTTTTAGCTTCCTTCAGCCTCGTCCCTTCTCTGCAGGCTAACCTCCCTTAGCTTAGACAATCTCTGTCAGGTTTCGGTTCGGGAGCGGGGTTCTTTCCCCCATCGCCTAGATCGGTCTGGGTGGGACAGGCACCATTGGTATTTCCTTTTCACATAGATACGCGGAACCACCCTTCGTCCGGTGACGGGATGGTCCATTAGCGAATTTTTCGGCAAGAAATTTAAACATAGGACTCAACATTATATATTTATATATATATAAATAAAATAAAATAAAATAAATAAATAAATATCAATAAATAGAATAAAATAAAATTTAAAAAATCCTTCCACGGCACCTGCCGGTATTTTGGAGATATGAGGGGGGATGAACCACATCCCAGACCTCATACTCGCCTAATTCTGAAGGATACGGCGAAGGATGCTGGCCGTGTCCAAGATTGTTGTACGCTGGAGGATATCGAGTGAGATTTCACACTCCAGCTTCCTGACATGTCCCTTGAGGTCTTTCAGGACGACGTCAGTTGTGCCTATGATGATCGGAACGATGGTGGTCTTCATTCCGCACAACTGTTGCGAAGCTCTCAATCCACCGCGGAGTCCTCACCCCTATGGGAGATATCACCACCACCAACGACGAACAACTCCAAGAGCTTACGGCCCCTGACACCTATAAGTACCTCGGTGTGGAAGAGAACTCTTCCGTGGCTGTCAAGCGCACGAAGACGACTGAATACAAACGCAGAGTCCGCCTCGTACTGAAGACCGAGCTGTCAGGCAAAAACAAGATCTCTGCCCTCAACAGCCTTGCCAGCCTCTGTCCTTAACTACAGCTTCGAAGTTATCGGTTGGTCACCTACGGAACTCCAAGCCATCGATCGAGCGACCAGAAAACTCCTAACCATGCATCACACCCACCATCCGAAGGCTGCCGTTGAAAGACTCTACTTTCCGAGATGCAAGGGAGGGAGGGGACTGATCTAACTCGAGTCCCTCTATAAGCGTACGACGTGCGAATTCGCCAGATACATCGAAAAGAAAGCAGGGAAGACTCATTTCCATCCTGAGAGAGCGAGATGCCCTGAAGAAGTCCCACTTCATCCAGGGAGATGCCACCCGCTTCCGAAACGCACTCCATCTCCATGACGACTGCGACACGACGGATGTGAAGACGGCAGATCAAGGACAAAGAGAAGCACGATGGAAGGAGAAACCGCTTCACGGCCAACATCCCAAGATCATGGATAAACCATCGATCGACTCGGACGTCAGCTATAACTGGCTGAAGAAGGGACTGCTGAATGCCGAGACAGAGAGCAACATCCTAGCCATTCAGGACCAGTGCATTAGAACTCGTAACTACGAGAAGCACATCCTGAAGCTGGATGTGGAAGACCGCTGCAGATGCTGTCATGGACCACCCGAAACGGTTCACCACCTCCTCAGTGCCTGCCCCGAACTAGCCCCGAGGGAGTACTTGTACAGGCACGACCAAGTGTGCAAATCTGTGCATTGGTGTGTCTCAAAGCAAGCCGGCCTGGAAGTCCCAGAAAAGTGGTACGAACACCAGCCAGAGTCTGTTGTGGAGAACGCCTCCACCAAGATACTATGGGACATGCCTATAATTACAGACCGCAGTATAGGCTGCAATAGGCCGGACCTTACGATCTATAAGGAGAAGAAGACCGCCCTACTTGTAGATGTGAGCATCCCAGCCGATAACAACCTCCAAGAGAAGACCAGGGAGAAGCTGGAGAAATACTCCGAACTGAGAGTGGAAGTGGAATAGTTGTGCGGAATGAAGACCACCATAGTTCCGATCATCATAGGCACAACTGGCGTCGTCCTGAAAGACCTCAAGGGACATGTCAGGAAGCTGGAGTGTGAAATATCACTCGATATCCTCCAGCGTACAGCAATCTTGGGCACGGCCAGCATCCTTCGCCGTGTCCTTCAGAATTAGGCGAGTATGAGGTCTGGGATGTGGTTCATCCCCCTCTCATATCTCCAATACCGGCAGGTGCCGTGGAAGGATTTATTTTATTTATTTATTTTATTTTATATATATAGTTTTTTTTTAAATTTAAACATACAGAGGTTAAACATATAGCGTGCGCGATTCTGGCTGCCAGCTAGACCGAGCGACAATTGTTTATTTTTTGTTTGTGTGTGTATGTGTGTGTGACAGCTCTACAGGCTTAGAGCTCCACAGGCGCTTAGAGATATAAACTTGGGGTTTCGGCAGAACTCTTCCTTACCAGCCGAGGATGTGCCTTTTCGAAATGAAATTTACAAATCGACCATAGGAAAGGGAGGGGAGGTAATTTTCATTGGAAATCGAAGATTAGCTCTCGTCTCCCCGTCTTTCGGATGAACTTGGAAACGAGAGTTGCCGTGGTTTTCGAAAGAGAACGCAGGCATCGTTCACTACAGTGCCTCCCGCCCGCTGGCGCGAATCCAGGGATTTCAAGGATCCATGATGAAATACAGGGCGAATTCCTCAGCTCGGCGCCACATGCGTTCACACGGACTTTCGCAAAGAAACCCATCACCCTAATTTCCTCGTTTGTTTCCATGGCTCTAAATGCTAAATGCACGAATTGCACGAACAACGCAAGGAGGTCGGCGAGAGGGAGAGTCTTTCAAAGAGTTGGATTGTTTTCCCGTATCCCGTATCGCATTTGTAGATGGCAAAAAAAAATACAGGTGTACTGTTTGGGAGCAGGATCTTTGCAAACAAAAAACAATACAATGATTTGCGGATCGTCGCTGTGCTGCGTGTTGCATGTTGCTTTCTTTTTCTTTTCCTCCATTCACATTCACTTCCTTCGCTCCATTCACATGATCGGGTGCCAAGGAAAATCACAGGTCCGATGAAACCTGTAGCCTATATACTATGACATTGCCCAAGTAGCACATAAACGCTTTCGAGAACGTTTAACGTGTTTTCAAAGAGGCCTTTGGACATCCAATGTACAATAATGAGCACATTATGGGCGATCGGATGAGGTGCCTTTTCATCACGAAACATGCTGCATTTGAAGGACATTTGTCGCACGTTTAAGATGCTTTCCTAACGCGCATCAATGGTATCCATCTGACAATGGTTTGAAGTCAAGGTACGCACCATCGACGCTAGATGGCGCCAAGGAAGTCCCTAAAACGTGTAATTTCCTGATATATCTGGATTCATCCCCCTTATACCTTCCACAAGATAGCCGATCTCTCTCCACATAAACCAAAGCGGAAGATACTTGAATTCTTGCACAAATCTGTCTTTAATGGAAACTCAGTCAGAGGAGTCTGCAGAGAACTCTGGCTCGAGAGAGAGTGGGCGGATGATTCAATTTCCAAGGTGACTTCATGGGAAGTGATTTTAACGTTCATCATCATGTCTCTCTTGAAAAGGATATTTGATGGAGAGGATGTCTGACTCCTCAGTATAAGGTAGCTGTTGATAGGATGAGAATTTCTGTTGTAAGGCTGAATGGCCCCACGCTGCTCCTCCAGAATACCTCAGACAATGTAAGATAGTACCATAGACTGTAACTAGAGTATACATTTATTGTGCGGCAATAATCATTGCATACACAGTAAA